TACAGCAACTGGCCGGAAGTTTTCGCAATGAACAATCCCACAACTGCCACTGCAGTCCTCGAATTCCGACGATTGTTCAGTCGCTTTGGAACATCGGTGACTTTTGTGTGAGACAATGGCGGGCAGTTCACGTCGTCGGCGCCCGCAAACTTTTGTCGAGAGTGTGGAACAACTCATGTCCGCTCACCGCCGTCTCATCCACAGTAGAACGGCCAAGCGGAACGCTTCGTTGATTCTCTGAAGCGGGCACTTCAGATACCCGGAGGGGAGAGACCAACGGAAGAGATTTTGCAACGGTTACTTCTGGCATATCGAGCGACGCAAAACCCCAGCTCACCTGATGGAGCGCCACCAACAGAGACACTGCTCCGGGGGCTCCGAACACCGCATGACACACAAATGGCAGGCTAGTCACCGCAACACCAGAATGGAGGAGCAGCTCAACCGGCATCATTGAGCAACTGCGCACTCAGTCAGCGAAGACCATAGAATGTTGGTTCGTGACCACAGTGACAGAAACCCTACATGGACCCCTGGGCTGATCCATCGCCGGCGCGGCAAAGTGCTCTACCAGTCTCAAGTTGACCCAACCAAATGGATGCACCACACAAACCGAATCCGGCTGACAGATACGCAGATCCTGTATAGAGGACCGAGTGAGTTGGGTCTAGAAATGCTTCTGGACACTTGATCTCGACGCTAACCCAGAAAATCAATCAGCTGCTTCATCCGAGGCCCAGCCTGAGAACGGATTACAACCGCGGCGCTGGACGGACAGGATCCGCCCGCCAATGAGGCCACTGCCAGTAGACCCTCGGTTTCGAGGCTACTTTAACAAATTTCAAGGGGGATGTTAGGCGAAATGCCACACGCAACCCACCTTACCGCTCGCAGACAGGTGCTGTTACAGCCGAGAAGCTCATCCCACGGGAGGTTGGCCTAAAATTCGGGACGTTTGCCGGTCCGGTATCATGCCGGGATCTGATTGGTCGAAAGTCTCGACCCAACAGCCAATCATGACCCAGTATTGGCGAAAGTCGGTTGTAAGTGGCGCATCCGGAACGCGTCAGATTTCCCAGGAATTTATTGGCGCCCACGCTACATACATGAAGCGCTGAACAAGTGTTCCTGACTTCGTTTTGGGCGTTAATACACCTTGTGCACCTTTGGTGGTTGTTTTGACGTGAAGGCTGGCTTGGGAGGCTCAGAACAAGAAGTAGGCTGAGTACAACACTGTTACTATAGTTTCTTATCCATCATCCGTGATTTGACTGTCTCGAAACATCATGTTCCCTTGTCCACATGAATTTTCGGTTTTGCCCAATCAAGTCATATAGTGTGGGAGCAATCTTGTTGAATTCCTTGACAAACTGGCTGTGGTGTGCTGTTCGCCTAAGAGACTGCCGTAGAGACCGCTTTGAAAACGGTAGTCCTCGATCTTTAGCCGTTCTTCTTGGAGTTGAATAATTTCCTAATGACCCACGGTATGCCCGAATAGTGTCAGTGAATTCCAAGCGAGCTACTTATTGACTTAATTTAATCGCAGACCAGCCCCTCGGGTACGCTTCAAGACGGCTTTCAAGCGATCTGCGTGCTCTGGTTGCCAGTTGCTGTATACAACGATATCGCCTTCGTACGTAGCAACAATCTGTCCTCTCTTCGCTAAAAGTAGCATCAGCCACCGGAATGTGAATGGAGCCCCAGACAAACCGAACGTTATCCGTCTAAATTGATATTAAGTGTCGACAATCATGAACACCTTTTTTCTCGGTCCTCCGCCTTGATAGATAGTCGCCAGTATCCGGAACGCAAGTCGAACTACATGGAATATCGGGAACGCTGGAGAGAATCGCAACCGAACGGACAGCAACAACCCGATTTACGGTCAGATCATTCAAACGCCAGAAATCCATGCATAACTGGTATTTTCCATTCGACTTCTGACAAACTATACGGAGGCCAGCCGTCCCTAATAACCGAACACCACATCATTTGGACGTATGTGTCATGTGCAGGACACGGGTCAAACGAAGGCATGCCCTGATTGGTCAGAGTGCCAGCCAATCCGAGCCAAGCACCTTGACTCGACGGTTCTCGCCCCCTCACGGACATTCTGGCACGACCTTGTGGAGCACTTTGTGACTACCCTATAAATACAGTTGTAACAATTTTCCTTTGTCTCCATGAAGGGCTATGTAAAGCTACCGTGCCTTTTGATGTACAATAGTGGGCGGAGCAGGAAGCCAAGGGACCGATACAGAGTTGCACTACCGTTCAGCAAGACACAACACAAGCACAACCGGGGAGTTGTACCCACCGTTGGATTCCTCTATTGTGCTATTTCTCAGCACTTCATGAAGTTGTTGATGGACCTCCTCCCGTAGATCGAGCAGCAGCAGGCCGGGGCCATAAGGTCGAAGGCATTTGGACGAGAGGGAAACTTCGCGTTCAATCCAATACCAGAAGCTAAACGGATCTTTATCTCCTGTGAACAGTTCGGAGTATTCCCCGACTGTGGACTGTAATGGCGGCACGTTACAAGACGGAAGCTTTCGGATATGCAGCTCGCTCACGGCAGTGCTTGGGTAACCTTAAAGCTTGACCGCGCCATACTTCGTCACCAGTTTTCCCCACCTTAGTTCAACTACGGATTCTGCACTCTCGAGAAGCCCCTTGTCGGGGCTGATCAGGAACTCGTGCTGCACGGATCTGTTGCCTAGGCGTATTTGGTGCACTGATGATCCGTCAATTTCCATTCGGTATCCGCCCACTGTTCTTAGGGCTAGCGCGCATAGTTTGGATTCAGCTTCGTACCCTGTCCGCCTCAACGATACCCCAGCCTCTGTATCAATTAGGCACAACTCCCTCTTCTCGTCTATCTCTACAACGGTCTGTATCTGTGTCACTGTGTTAATCGTGATCTACACAGGAAGAGAGGAGTAATCCAAAGTTTTATTATATACAAGTGGTCGGGTACGATGACATTGATTCTGCCAATGGCCATGTATGCATCGGCTCGTTCGAGCGCGCCTCCACAACTCTGTCTTGATGGCTGCAAGCTGTTCGCTAGTTGGTCCACTTTAGTCTCCAGGTCCTCCACTGGTGAATCATTCGACTTCTCTTGCAACTGCAACGTGGCCAGCGGCGTCTCGGCCAATTCCCGTACTGGATGCACTAGCTCCTGCACAGTGAACTGTCCAGTTGCTTTCGACAGCCGCAACTGGGCACGAAACGCAGGCTGCACCCCCTCTACGAACTGGACAGACAGCAACTGCTGGAGCGACACTCCGTCCAGTCCCGGAAGGGCCCGATCTAACGACTGCTGCAGGCTGGCGAAGAACACCCATCCTGGCCGTCTTGAACCTCCTCATAACCCCCTGGCGGTCGATCGATGTGTCAAACTCCGCTGCAAGAACTTCCTTCGCGGCGGCCCACTCCATTTTCCGCCTTCACTCGGCCTCTGAGCAGGGTATTCAGTTTCGCCAACTTGCCCCGGTCGACCTCCAGTCCAACCGCCTCTGTAATCTCCTCGAAATCCTCCGGGAAGTTCCGCACACCCCCATCCTCAAAAGTTTGTGGCCACGGAGTGTTTTTCCGCTTCCTGGCGATGGCAGCAAATATAAGGAAGAAAGCCCTCGCCGCTAAACCGTTTATTAGCAAAATACCAACTAAACAGCTACAAGCTATTGGACAGGAAAGTTAACATCTCAAAGGCACCCTGTTTTCAGAAACTGAACATCCTCACGTAGTTGTAAACGTGCGCTGTAAGCCAGTTCCACAAGTCCCCGGCATAAACCCCATCTCCCATTAGACGCGAGGTGGAATTACTAGAAAACCAGATGCTACTCGCGTGCCTCATCAGCAGTATCCGCCGTTACACTGGTATGTTCGAACTTTGGGGCTGAGTTCCATCCAGTATGACCTGCAGGATCATTGCACCACTGAAACCCGACTACCACAACGATATCGGGAAAACAGGAGTTTCACACTTATGTAGTTTTTAAGTAGGTATTTGAACATAACTGGAACTGACCGAATGGAAGACAAGGTTGAAATGGGTTTCAGGTGTATGGTTCGAACTCGACCTCTGCTCCTCGATTTCTCCTGTCTAGGCCTGGGCAACCTGACGATATCCAAGTCGTGCTTTCAGGTGGCACGATAGGTAGCCTTTGAAAGGGTGTTACAGCTGGACTATTTTTCTGTCCAACGGCGTCGACGCTGCTCGTGAGATATCAGTTTTTCAATAATACCTTTGACCGGGTTATCAGCGGTCAGTCTATGGAGGCTAGATTACGTTCCAATGGATCGGATGGCGGCATCTTCCCGATAGCGGGGGCCCACTATCTCAGTTCCGGATTGACAGGTGGTGCCTCCGCAAGCGGGGAAAGGAGCGAGTGCAAGAACGATCCGAGATACGACACAGCGTTCGAAGTGTGTTCTTGCATGTCAACACCACGTATTCCGGAGAATAAAGTTCCAGCCGATGTATCCCTCTGGACCCATGAAACATTCGATTCCTACCACCACCGCAACGTTGCGGCGATCTACCTGTGCAATTTTTGTTGTTTCTCATTAAATAAAAAATAATCGTTCAGCTGTAGCGCCCTTTCGGTGCCTAACTGCCATGCCACCCGAAGGAAGCACGAGGGCTGGGATACTGTCAGGTTGCCTAAGCCTAGACAGGGGAAGTCGAGTGGCGGAGGTCGGGTTCGAACCACGGACCTTCCGGTCAGTAAATTCGCGCTCTAACCACTTGAGCCATCTCATTGGTCATGATGAGACCGGTTGTCCTTTGAATGCTGTTCAACGGATTGTATTTTATCGCATGTACATTGGTACCATTGGTTTATACGCATTGAACCGTAGTGGCACCCCAAAACCGACCTTTTTTGCGATTTATGTTATGGTTTCTGACGGTCCAATCACTTTCCATCAAAAATTCTCTGAAGACTGCGGCTTCTGAGGTGGTAAAACTATTAACCTCTATTTGTCCTGTCTACAGCTCTTGTGACTACATCCTGCAGGGTTTACCACTCCTAAACAGAAGTCAGCGATCTACCTGCCAGACAACCCAGCAGCTATGAGTTTCCGTCTCTTCCGTCCAATATTCCGACAGGTGGTTTTTGTCTATATCTGTTATTTATAACACGACAGTTTTCTTCACTCCGTGCTACCCAATCACTCGCCTTCACAAACGTGTTAAGGTCGGTTGTACCGAGACGATCACTGGGACACGGTCCTCCTATGACAAAACCCATGATTCAAGACCGAGTGATGCTCGTGTTGCGACTTTATGACAAAGTTGATCCTGAAAAGGTAACTACACCTTACTTCTCCACCGTATCATCCATCTAGCTTACAGAAAAATCGGACTTCGTCAAAGACTTTGGTTTGGACAGCTTGGATCATGTGGAACTAGTAATGGCTATGGAGGAAGAGTTCAGTAAGTGTTGCGTGTCAGTTTTATTTAACGATCGCTCCAGATTTCGAAATCCCAGACGTCGATTCGGAACGATTCAAAACTCCTGCGGATATTATCCGCTATATTTGTGACAAATATGACGTATATGATTGACCATCCTCCTTTCCCACCCCACCCCCACACACCAAACCTGTGCTCTACCTGTTAGATAATAAATTTAGCATTTAAAGCCCGTGTTTTTACTTGTGTCTGGTTGAGATCCCGTTTAATCCGAGCACCATTTTTACAGGGAGAAAATGAGCTCGCATTCGGACGAAGAGGCAGATGGATTGCCGTTCGACATGGATGAGGTGAGTGAAGGTAAATCTGGTTGCCCTAATTTCGAATGTTTACATGTATTTGACAGAGAATTTTCGCGGGAGATTTTCATCCTATGTAAATGGAGACAGTGACCACCGCTCATCCCACTTCATGTGTAAGATGTCTTAAAAGTTCAAGTTGTCAGCCGGAAACTGTGAACCAAGGTACTTTTTCCTGTCGTATGATTTCCAGCGATGGTTGGGTTGAGGGGATGTCCACGCATTTATGACAGTGGCATAGCCCGTTCACCAGCTTAATATCATAGACCGAAACTCAGGTGAAGCTTTGTTTTGAGGTCCAACTTGACACTTGATATTCTGACGTAATACGCCGTACTCCTAAGGCCTCGAGTGAATGGCTCCGGAATCGTCATTATTTGACCAAACAGTGGTCTCAAGACAGTTCTTTCGAAGATTCTGCCCATGGGTGATACGTTCCAATTTTGTGGTTGAAGAATCAAAGTTGGTGGTTGATCAGATGGCACGTTGACAATCGAGGTTGGTTGAGTTACACCATCTCGTGCCTTTGACCTTTGACGATAATGCTACCAACGAAGCACTGGTTATTATTATTTTTTGGGGTCTTGCGGGGCTCGTATTCTGATACCTACATGCCCAGCTTATTGATATTAACCCTGACCACCGGGATAGCAAAGGATGTGACGTTTGCCTGGAACACCGTATTACCAGAATAGCGGTAATTTCAGGTGGTGATGTGTAATCTTTCTGAGGATATTACTAACGTCTCCAGCATTACTGAGAAGTTACCAACGTTGCCTTCAAAATAGCTGGAGAACATATTCCAAGTCTCAGCCTTGAGGTCTAGGCCACTCCCACCGCGTCCTTACCATTCCTTACCGAGCTGTTTGTTCCGTTGGAACTGGTGCCATCTTAACTGGATACTTACAACGATTATATACCTACTCACGGATATTTTTTACGGCTTCCTCCAGTCCCACTCTGTTGTGCCTTCCTCCTTCAATTCTGAATTCGTAGTAGTGAATTATCCAATCCAGATTAAAAAATACCAGCATTGTTAAACTGAAAAGTGCATTTTTGCCCTTTAAATAGAACTAGGTCACTGGTGAATTGAGTGAATACTGTGCTTCATCCCTAGAGGGACAGATCACGTTGGCGATCTCCGACAAAAACAAATGGCTCTGCACTCCTAGTGGATCAAGTTATTCATAAGTTTGCTGAAAACTCTTCAGCAGTGCTTGACCGGTCTCGCCCGCTCTTGGGGCTCGTCAGGTAGGCGCAGCCCCTGAGTTTCCCTCAACCTCATCTTACAGAGCCATGTAATTTTGCACGCGCTTGAACATGGCATCCGTGTCCGATCGGAATTTCCATTTTGTCTTACACTCATCTTGAATGTATGTGCTTACTCATCCCCTACTTTGTGGGCTAAGTTCGCTGCACTTGTCTGCCTCGCCTCTGGTGCACCTGGAAGCCGATGTGTAAGCCCTTATAAGAAATTAGTTTGATTCAGTTTTGAAAGAATACCATCATCTAAAGCAGTTCAATTTTCTAAGTAAGGGTTAAGTCAACTTATTTGGTCTTTGCCTCGGTGCACTGACGGTGCGCACTTGGGTAGTAGTTATCCATTTAGGCCACTATAACTTTGCAAGCGAAACGAGTGACTTTAATTTTTGGATTCCAATCGATAAAATGTGCTGTTAAGCTCTGGATCAACGCCTTAGTTCCCAGATTAGTGGAATATCCAGGAAGGGTTGGCTTCGTACCTCCATCAGCGTTGTATTCAAAGTCTACCTTGGATCCCCGGCGTCCTAAACCAGGTAATGGGTCGAAATCGACTGGTTGTACGGTCGCAGGTTATTGATTTTGAAGACCCAACGACCAAGCCAACCGCGATAATTCTTCGAACAGCAATCATTTGTGCATCTGTGGTGGTCAAAGGGTCCTTACTGTCTTGGGAAATTGAAAGGTAGGCGTTTCATATACGATTGAAAGGATAAAACATGGTGTGTTCACTTTACATGCTTAAGTGGTGCACTACTTGGCGCACATCTTCCATATGCACACCTCCAACTAGGAGACAGTTGTGAAATATTTTTTTACTTTTCACATCCAACACAGAGTTTCAGAACGACCGAACTTTGTTTGTCTGACTAGCCTTCGTCCGTGGCTTTAATACGCACATACAGTCTGGTGTGTCGTGTTGTCCAAACGGTACTTAGACCCTTCCGGTTCGTGACCGCCATTTAATACAAGCGTTAGACGACTGATGAAGCATTGCTACTTTGCCTAATTTTAGGCAGAGTCAACCGAACCTTGGACCTATTGGACAGAACATCATGTCACAACTCGTGGACATCTGTGAAATTATCCTTGTGTACGCTTTTGTCGCACACGAACACCACTTGATGACGAGTGTCATAAACCAACGAGCAGCGCCTTTAGAATTTTATTTATTTAGTGTGTATAGCAAACTTGACTGGCTCCAACCAGGGATAAAGTCCATCTCCCAGTGACCTGGCTTCAGGGGACTACTGTTTATAGTTTGCGGTTCAAGTGGGGTTAAGCCTCAATCAGCGATCAACAATTTTCAGTGGGGATCATGGCTAGACTATTTAGCCAATCTATACTTTGCAGAGTTCCTACACATGCTGGTTTGATCCCGCTTATGTTTTTTACTCCACTAAGATGCATATGTATCTGTTTCAGTGTTGTTCGAATGTGTAGATTATTTGACCATTTCATTTAGGAACATGGGGCACTTTCAGTTGCCGCTATTCTGCTTCATCTTCACTCTTCCTGTGTAGCTTAGTTGTTCCCCCTGCAAAGGATGCACTCCCTCGAGATTGGCCAAAATTATGCTGTTGAAAGCGTTGTCTCTTGTGTGGCGCACGACTTCAGCTGTACCTTCATAGCAATTTTTCACAGCAACCTGTATGAAGAACAATACAGAGTTGTTTTACTAATTTATTTTAAAAAAAACTGGATATTTCCACCATGTGACACAACAGCAGTTCAGTGATTACTTTGCTGAGTAGGCCTGACGACACCTGTATCTGAACCTTGTTAAACAAGAGAGGACGTTCGAGATGCTCGCGAAATGCACTATTTCACCGAACAAAATAATCTCGGTCATATTTTGGCGGATTTCGTCGCTTGTGTATGCATCCTACGTCACTTTAGACTATGGATACCTTATTCTATGTTTGCACTCCCTTATAGAATCAGTCACCTTGATGATGATCATCATCATCCTTTGTAATAACTCGTACAGCAGCTGCCACAGTTTCGTTCACCGATGATTTGGGGAGGTCGGGTAGGAGCTGTGCCATGGAGGCGGGAGCTGACAAATTAGTGCGTAAATACAGCACTGTCAGTGGACTGCTAAGTGTGGGGATTGTGAAGGGAGCTATGCATTGAAGGCAATAGCTTGGATGCATGAGCGCCATTAAGGGCGCGACTGGGGCATGTCTGTCAATGTCTCTAACCATTGATATGATCACTCTCCGGGTTCCCATCAAGGAAGACGGCAATGACCAGCGCAGCTGAGTTTGCTGGTTGATAACATTGTTGATATTTAAATTAACGGCTTTTCAGTGTACATCTAGTGTTGTCGCTTTTGCTGAGCAGTTGAAATCATAGCTTTGTGTGTGATGATGACAAAAGATACTCCTCAATCTGAGCGACTAGACTGCTGTATTGGAAGTTCTCTCTTGGTAGACATTCCATCCATTCTTCTTTGGATAAACTAAGCTACCTCGACCTCTTTTTGGGTGAAGGGGGCAGCACCGTAAGTGCTCTAATGTCCCCGTTAACTTTTAAGGCTGATCATATTCTTTCTGCACTTGACTAGCTGAATTTTAGTGGGTCTCAGTGCTTTAAAATGTTTGTCTGATATGAGATTTCGCTTTGTTCAGAGTGGAACTGACAAATATTCTTAAATATCAGTGAGGGAAACAATGCGAATGCTTCCTGATGAACCCGTATCATGGTCGTCAGCACGCGTTTACTCAGATCATTATAAACGGGTAAGCTATGTCAACTTGGTGGCAAGTAAGTGCCGATTGATCATGCGTGGCTCTATTTTACGAGGGAAAACTGTCTCAGAGTGCATAAGGTCCCACTACAATTGGGCATATATCAGGCCAAGTTAGGTCCAGACGAAAAGGGCTGTTTGATTTGTCAGGACAGTATATCGAAGTGGTTAGAGCGCGGATTACTAACCTGAAGGTCCGCGGTTCGAACCCGACCTCCGCCACTCGACTTCCCCTGTCTAGGCTTGGGCAACCTGGCAGTATCCCAGCCCTCGTGCTTCCTTCGGGTGGCATGGCAGCTAGGCACCGAAAGGGTGCTACAGCTGAACGCTTTATATCGACCTGTGAAGTCAGCCGTTTAACACGCCGCTTGTTGTGTGATTCTCTCAATGACAAGATATTCCGTCCCAGCATTTCATCTCTGGGAGTGAATTACCATTTTAGGAATGACAAATCACCTCCTTCCTGTTGTCGAAGGTTCGCTATCTTTAGTGGGGTGCAGATGGAGAAGTTTCACGCCGTAAAAATTGTTTCCTTGTGTATGTGGGGGAGACCACATTCGATTACGGAATTGGACTGGCCATCCAGGATATTATGGGAAACCCAGGCACGGATAAATTTCAATTCGTACTGGCTCTCATACTACGCGTGGGTTACAAAGTTGCGCATGTGGCAAATGTAGAAATATATAGTTGGGCAGACAGACCGACAAGAACCTCAAAAGGTTTACATCTAGGTCGGCAGCAAGGACGTACTCTTTGACAGCCTACGACTAGTTTTGCCTTTTTTGGTGCTCATCAGGTAGGTGAAAGCCAATTTGATATGCAAGTGAGTGCATCTGGTACCGTAAATTAGAAATCACTGTTTCTTCGACCCATGTTTCGCCAAATCCCAAAAACAAAGTTAATCAAGTTTCGTTTTGGTTTCACACAGTTTCTCCTCAATAACTTTGCTACCGCGAAGCAAATTCTACGATTTATTATCAGACTTTTTCGTATGATGCGAAATACGTTTTTGTTTCTCAAGCATGTTTCGTGTATGTTTTCAAGAGAACATGTTGCATGTTGGATACAGAACTGATAAGATACGCTATTCAAGACAGTTTTTGTGGAGTGAATGATAACCTTGTACTGATTTCATTCGGATAATATCTCAGCCAATTGCATGCTTAAGTTTGCGTGTACTAAGTCAGCGTTGGATTGGAAAACACTTGTGAGATCTTATCTGATAATACAACTAAGATCATGTTCTGTAGCACAAATGTCATCGGCCGCGAATTTCAGAGTAAGTAGTATCGTGGTTATTTCCGTTGGAAAACTGGGCATGTATTTACAAGCAACTGTAATGAATATGTTTGGCAATATGATGCAATGTATCCCAACTTCACTGGCTGTAAATTGATCACATGTTCATCAGTAAATCCTGAAAGGAAGTAATATAATTCCACCGCGTTCGGCGGGCAATTGATGGAATTACAAGGGACGTCTGCAGCCTACCATGAGATGCTGTGTGACGCTGTACACTACTGATTGGAGCATACGAGTACCATGTTTTTATCGTAAATCCGTTTCGTGCCTCTTGAAAAGTGAGATCTATTACGGAATTTGTGGAGTCGCATTTGCTTGTAGTTGAGCAACAGTCAATGAATATCCAGGAAAATTCAGGAAGACGCGTTCAAGGAGAAGATGCATATTCAGTTTTTGTAAACAAGACGCATATGCGAGTTTTGTTTCCCTCTCCACTAGTCTACAACTGTTCAGGTGGTATTTTCTAGTAAATAACTCCGCAGCGAAGGCCATCCTTTCACTGGTATGAGTGCGAGCCCGCGTAGAATGGTGTCCAAGTGCCTCGAGGTCCCCTGAGCCGCAACTTGCCATAAATCTTAGAATGTTTGAGAATCAAAGCATAAAAAGATACGCAAGCTCAGCCACGATTGCTGCGTTCATTATATATGGAAAAAACCGTAGGATGAAACTGGTCGTGGGCTGCCGAAGAGTCTTCTTGTGAGTAATTTCCCTTAGTGTGTGTCCACTTGTTTTGGTGTTGATTTCGTGGATCAATGAAAGCCGGTTACTCACATCGGAAGGGTGTCACACCCGAAAGACCTGATTTTCATTACTTTATTGGATTCTTTCTCTCTCTGTAGGTCATGGCTGCAAAACGGAATAACCCAGGAATGTTTGTCAGTGCTTGGGAAGCAGATGAGAACGACATTGAGCATTGGAGCAAGGCACAAATCCGAGGTATGTGGTTTGAAAGTTAACATCTGATCCGATTTTTCATGTTTTTTGTTCTCCGTCTTCGTCGAGGATTTGAGTGGAGTGAAAACCTATGCCTTTTATTTTTTAAAAATATATTTGGAGGCTGGTTAGTAGTTTGAATCCGAGTGTCACCATGCAATAATCAATGCGATTATTATTGTTGTTGAATACTGGTTTATTAGCAGACAAAATGCACAGACAGGTTTTGGCGGAAGTCACTTTAGACTGGATAATCTACTGAACCTCTCGTTTATGACATTCTTCACTGGAGAATACCATAACTCGAACACAAGGACGACGGGAACGCGGTGACTACGACTATCTGATTAACTCAAAGAAGGAAGCAATCGATCGTGGGCTGTCGAAGAGATTTTAGCAGCCTTATGAGTTGCGTGTTGCACCTTAAGGGGTTATCTGCAAGGCGTTCTGTGAAACTGAAACTGAAACTCATGTTGTCAGAATCAGTTGCAAGATTCCGTGACTGCACTGTAAACAAGAACACGACAGTTTCACTGTAATTGATGGCGGGGGCGAGATGGCTCAAGTGGTTAGAGCGCGAATTTACTGATCTGGTGGTTCGAACCCGACCTCTGCCTCTCGACTTCCCCTGTCTAGGCTTGGGCAATCTGGCAGTATCCCAGCCCTCGTGCTTCCTTCGGGTGGCATGGCAGCTAGGCACCAGAAGGGTGTTACAACTGAATGATTGTAAATGATGGCTAGCTACAGATTATTTTGGTTTGTATCGATGGTTTGCTTTGCGTCATACAGGCCATTACGTGTAGGGTATGACGCCAAAAAACTCTAAGCTTGTTCACGCATAATATTCTGTTCCGAAGTACACGGAGATTTGGCGCACAGAGTATGAGCAATATGGAAATAAATCAGAATCTCGAGCTTCTTGTTTGTAGGTTATCTTAGTTTTGGAAATCATGTTACGTTTAATCGGAACGGCAAGCGGCTCAGCTCCAGCTGAAACACAGTTAGCACCAACCTAATATGTGAATCACAGCTTGGCGATCTTGGAACAGCTGCTAATTTCATTCTTTTTGTGATACCTTATATTCAGAAATGTGGGCAAGGGCACTCTGTCTGAATCCCTAAAACGTCCGCAAGCCGCTCACATGTTCACCGGATGCAAAATGGGATCACGTGCTCCATTGGAGGGGCTGGATGTAGCTGAGTAAACCATAATAACCGTTTATCTGCAACACCCGATCGGGACCTGACTGTCATGCCATCCTAAGGAAGCGCGAGAACTAAGATACTGTCAGGGTGCCCAACCTAGATGGGAGCAGTCGAGTTGCAGAGGTTGGGTTCGAAACACGGAATTTCTGGTGCTTTAATCACTGATTTCTCTCGAGTTGAGTGTTCAAGGAGGGATATGCTGACCGGAAGGTTGGTGATTTGAGTTTCATTATTGTTTTTTGATTGTTGCCGTCTAGTCTTGGATAATCTGACAGTCTGGTGCTTTTTTAGGTTGGCATGGCAATAGTACAGTTGCTCTTCGAAATACCTGGTGAATACCGCTCCTACTGTTCTCCGTATTTTTTCACCCGATGCAGCTGACCCGATTAAACAGTTTATCGTTGCTGCTGAGAACGGCAAACTGGATACTATCAACGAGATCGTTTGTCGCGCTGAAAAAACCGTTCCCAATCCAACCCCGTATCCTACTCTGTCCGAATTGCTGGCTGCTAAAGATCAAGACGGGTACACAGCTCTTCATCGGGCGGCCTATGGTGGGCATGCACATGTGGTAGAGGTGAGTTTGCTTCCTTAAGAGTGGCGAAACATGGAAGTTTTACGCTTGTCTCCAGCGTCACTCTATCATCACCGGCGGTAGCAGCTACATAGCATTAAAACCGGCACTTTCGGAACTTTGCCAGATAAGAAATCGTCCTAAATAGGTCTTCCCAAACAGGAATTAGGTGGCACAAGCTACACTTGATACTTGTATTCATAGGCATCAAATTTATTTGAGTAATTCTATGTTTTCACGCAACACATCCTGTGCAACTCAACCGCACCGTTGCTCAGAAGTAGGCGTTCGACATCTCTGTCGTCCGCAACTGCCTCAGGATTGGTGATTCGTGACAAGAATTAAACAGTTGTGTGATGCCCATGTTTTTTTGTGCCGGATAATCCAGGAGCACCACAGGGCGAACTCCATAGTAGCGTTTCACATTTTCCTGAGGGTTCCGATCATTTCAACTGAAGCACTATTTTTTTGAAGCCCAGTCAATAGTTGGGACCCAATAGGCGATCAATACGCGCAGATTCTCTACTACTTTTGGCTCTTTAATTAGTTTCTTTTCAATGGACAGCCAGTCCATCAAGAGGACTTTCGTCCTCACTTTTGCTTCAGTCACCCGAAACGACAGAGCTGTACGTCGTGATTGATTCTTTTCAGTCAGTGTTGTGCTAGTAAGTTTCCATATACCAAAGACCAACGCAGACTTCGAAAGCCAGTTTCACAACAATCTTCAATATAATTAGATATCCTAGGTAGCGTGGTACTACAAAGGTAACTTGTTGACCCTATATACCATGCCATGTGACCTCGTTGACGATTCCTTATTGAGCCGGCCGCCTTTATAACCAAGACGATGATTGTTTGCCGGAATAATCTATATTCGCGCGTCTCCTACGGGTTTGAATGAGATATTCGCGTGAAACTTTCGTTTTTTTTCCGGATATACAGCGATTACTACAACTTGGAGGTGATGTGAACAGCCGGACTTTGGATGGCTGGACTCCGTTACACAGTGCTGCGTTCTGGAATAAGCTCGCCTGTGTACAATTGTTGCTCACAGCCGGTGCAGACTTAAATGCAGGTATGCCACAACATGTCAATTTTAGCTGTTTTTAACTTAAGATCATGGAAAATGGACATAGCAGTTGCCGCCTCAGACAGCAACCTATCAACCAGAGGCGCTCTCTTGTGCCTTCGATTCTCTAGTCTAAAACGCTTTCTGGAATACTCAGGACTGTTTTCCCCATTATTCCAACATTTTTTTCATTTTCGTCTACTGTGTTTCTAAGTGCTTATCGCAGACTTAGTCCTCCACAACGAACAAAGTTTCAACTTCCCCATGTAATCCACGACATGGATTTTTGCTGCGTTGATAGTGCCATCTTAATTTCTTGCACTTTTTCAGAGTTATCTGCAGTCCAGGTTAGGGAATTCGTTACTAGAATCGTCTAACTGCGTACCGGACACAAAGGCATACTATTATTCTCCATTTCACTTATGACTCCTCATCACCATTCAGTTCTCGTCACTCGGCTTTTAAGACGAACGGAGCTCAAAAAACAGGGTTTGATAATTTAGATATTCACTGAAGCGCATGTGACGTGAAATCAAAGTTTGTTTGCATCGTTCAAAGTCATCGGGTGGAAGGATGTCTGGTTGACTGGATAAGTTCGTCTGACAATGTCCATGAAGGAGTGTCACAAACAAGAAGTTCACCAACCCCAAATGACAATGTCCATGAAGGAGTGTCACAAACGAGAAGTTCACCAACTCCAAACTGACTGTCGTTGTTACACCGTTAAAGCAGCCTTTAGGTCGTTTTGAGTACCCTGTCACGGCAAACCTTTAGGTCGTTTTGAGTACCCTGTCATGGCAAGCTGAAAGCTAAGATACCGCTGTGGCTGTCGGAGATCTGAATACACAAGTGGACAGACTTTACGCGTCCGAAACTCAATTGGATAATCATCATCATCCGAAGTAACCGAAATCACCTGGCCACATGCTGTCCTCCAACAGATCGCCGGCTCGTCGAACTTAACTGTTGTTTTCATCATCATCGACAGTATGACATCAGTGTTCAACACCGATACTTCACTGTGTTGATGGGCAAACTGGCGCTATCAGAAATGAACTGAAAAATTTCAGCATCTTGACTCTTCAACTGTTTAGCACTCAGGAAGTGTGCACGCTGTTTGGCATAGTAGTTGGCATTGGTTACTTCCCCTAGTTGTCTCCGATACACGATCCTAATACTGTCCAATGAATTTGAAAGCTGAAATTTCCAGATCAGAGGGCGGCTTTAGTGTGTAGTGCAGTGGGTCATTTATACCGTGTAACGTAAGCTCTGCTGTGTTTAATCCAGATTTCTTGGTCACTGACATGAGCTGTTCTGTGGCTGGTGATTCAGCAAAATGGCCCAGGTCCTCGAACGACCAATTTACGGTACATTTGCCCTTCGAGGGTAAACGGAAATTTGTTACGTCCACTCCAAAAGGTCTTAGGGGACCTTGCCAAGTTAGACCAGTTAACGATTAACACTGCGACGGAGCGTATCTCGCTAACTTCGTGTAATTTGAGTTTAAGTAGAACCTAAGTTTGAGGGAAACTCAGGAACTGCGCCCACCTGATGAGCCTCAAGAATGGCGAAACCGGTCGTCGGCTGTCGAAGAGTTTTTAGCAACCTTATGAGCGCTGATAGGTCTATATAGTCGCGGGACTTCATTTCCTGAGGATACACACGTAGGTCCTGTGCATCCTCTTCCGCTCACCCCTAAATCACACTGATAAGTGTACAGCTGCGCGTTTCTTCTGTGTGCGTGATTGTGATGTGGTAATCAGGACCCCATTTTTCTATTTTAATTCTACTTCAGGGTCTAGTAATGGACCTGTTCATTAACAGTGGTTAATCAGGTGCTTACCACTTCATCGTGAGTAGCGTTCCGCACTTGATGATAAGTGAGAGGGCGATTTATCAAACAGCCGAGAGTAGGATGATGAAGTGGGTGACAGTATGCAGTAGACCAAACTCCCGTATTGGGGGACAGCTGTATTTGATTGACCTGAATCTTCACTTCCACCTGCTGCCCCTCCGTAGGAACAAGTTACACCGACTAATTGGTTCCTCAGAATATTTGTGCCCACTGTTTCAGCTCATTATATTGCAGTTCCACGTATGTGGATCTCCCGCATGACATTGAGGGTGTCTACGAATCTGCGCTTAGTTTTACACAGATTCAAGCTGTCACCAAGTAGCTAGATTTGTGTACTTCATCCAGGTGGGGGTATCTCATGTGAAGTGCAAACAATTGTGGGTTGTGAATGATACTGTAGCTTTGGACAAAAGCTGTGACGGGCCAGTGGCATGGAAAACGATAACCGGTCGCTCACACTGTTGGTTCCTTGCTACATCCAGATGAACAAATACAGTTGTTTGTCAGATCCACTGACTCTGCTTGAGGGTTTTCTGCTAGAACTACATTATCACACATATTGTTACGACTTGGGGTGAGCGACTCACGTCCGATAAGTGTCACTGGACGAGTGAAAAGTCACAACGTCTTCAGTACTGTCCACACTTACCGGTGACAGAGTGCTTGTTACTGGTGCTTTTTCTGATACGTACCACATCCAACCACTTGCCACGAGACGGCTCTTGTTGGTTTTACTTACAACAAGGAGTCCAATCACTGTAATTTAAAAGACGTGTATTTGTTAATGGCTATCACATTTATGTCTGCCAAGGACGTACACTTGAAGAGACGACGGATTAGGGTGAGAGATGAGTCTTTCTGCGAACTATTGATCGTTTTTTCCCAGTCTGGTGGTTCAATTTCACGTGATAATACTTAGCATTCAAGGGGAGGTTTTTTAGTCAGGCTTACTTGTGCCTCCAGTTTTTTTATTGACAGTATCCAGTCTTGTTCTCTGCTAATGAAATACTTCTGTACCCACCCGGAATTCGATTCATCTTCTTCTCGCTAGTCTCCATCTTCATTTTTGTCCCCTAGTGACAAACAGCAACCAAACGGTGCTACATCTGGCTGTATCAAACAACCAAAGTCCGGAGACCCTATACTTTCTGTTGTCACAGCCAAATGCGTCTGTATACGGTATACGAAATAAGCTGGGTGATACTGTTGCTGACCTGATAGAACGGAACACGCCCTATTCCGATCTGTGCTATGTGTTCAGTGAACACGTGACACAATTGGGCCAACCACCATCGAAAGCGACGGGATGAGCAGAAATTCGTCGCTACTTGTTCCTCTCGCAGCACGGTCTCCACTGTTGTCTGTGACCCGGCAGAATGGCAAGATAAAACCAAACAACCAAGCCACACTCGACCTGAAACTATTTGACATTGAATAGAACTATTCACAATCTTTTCCGTTGTCTTCATGCGTCTAGCTTCGGTTTTCGAAGCCACTTCGCTCGACCAATACCAGTCTGCGGGTGGGAGGACCTGTTAAGATGCGGTATTGCTTGAAAACCGATCAATCCAATTCCACATAAACGAAGCCTTTCGTCGTGCAGGACAAACACTCAGTTAAGAAAGCCCGGAGAATTCATTCCTTAATGCGATCTTTCCCGTTTTGAAAATAGTTTTCACAGCACATGCAGTCCAAGACCAGGTTACTAGTGATCGCCCCACTCCTGTACAAATGCCAATATGAAAACAGCTGCTGTTTTACTTATGAAACGACTGTTTGTGGCCACCGTGATGGACGATCATAGCTCACACGAGCCTGGTAGAGAGTAAGAGGCCTTGAATCTAAACGGAATCCGACTAAGATATGAACTCAAATTGCATTCTGACGCTCTTTCGCTGCAAACGGTTAATTGCCTTTCTTATCGCCTCATTATAGCCACCCACCGTTCATATTTTCGGATCTCCAGTATCCTGGGGTTGGACAAATATCATTATTGGGGACTTTGAATATAAGCCTTTTCAATCTGGTTCCCGTACTCATCGAAAGTACTTTGTGTAAATGACACTTTTATCGTGAGTAAACGAGACAAAGCCAGCAGATTTTGCAGTTACCTTAATAACCTGAGTTTAGTAGGAAGGCAGGTTTAGATTTGAGTAATCCGCAGTTCTTAGACTGTATAACAGATAAGGCTGTTGGGAAACTGAAAACCACAGTGTAACATAAGCCATGTGATATTGGAGCAGTTTTAAGCTATTGATCCTTACTAAAACGGTATTCACCGGTATTGTCTCGACAGTGGTCAACCGAGTAAGAACCCTAGGCACAGAAGTCGATCGGACAGCGACTCGAATTCAGGCGGGATATCCAGCTAGTTTGGTTAGGCTGGAGGGCTTTTGATGTCTGTGACGAAACCCAATAGGGAATGGATTCGGAGAGACCTGTATTATCAGCTCCCACTTCCAATGCGCAGCTACCTACCCGAATCGTCGATGGACCGAATTGTGGCAGCTACAACCACTATACGACAAGTACACGGTCCCTACAGTTGATAGTAATGACGGTGGTGACGTTATTCGACGGATCCTTGACACGGCTTATAAGAGTAGCGTTCCAGAAGGAATTCACTCTGTGCCCCGGACAGGTGCAATTGAAGGGGTGTCTCTCGGTAGACAGAGCTGAAACGAGAACTAGGTACTGTCTACGAAAACGGATCGCTAGAGAACTTCACACCGGAATCGGTAACCACAAAAGGAAAATATAAATGCAGACGAGTATTCAGCGCTATGAAAGGCTCAGCACCGGCTGAACATGCGCCTAACACGGGGCAAAACAGACGTAGAGAATTCTGAAGCTATGGAAATCGGCAAGAATGCTAGTGTGAGGAGAACAGAAGGCGTAGGACTGGCGAGCGTCTGGGGAAGTCCTAGATCAATGGATCTAACTAGTCCCTACAGTTGATAGTAATGACGGTGGTGACGTTATTCGACGGATCCTTGACACGGCTTATAAGAGTAGCGTTCCAGAAGGAATTCACTCTGTGCCCCGGACAGGTGCAATTGAAGGGGTGTCTCTCGGTAGACAGAGCTGAAACGAGAACTAGGTACTGTCTACGAAAACGGATCGCTAGAGAACTTCACACCGGAATCGGTAACCACAAAAGGAAAATATAAATGCAGACGAGTATTCAGCGCTATGAAAGGCTCAGCACCGGCTGAACATGCGCCTAACACGGGGCAAAACAGACGTAGAGAATTCTGAAGCTATGGAAATCGGCAAGAATGCTAGTGTGAGGAGAACAGAAGGCGTAGGACTGGCGAGCGTCTGGGGAAGTCCTAGATCAATGGATCTAACTAGTGGTGGTATGCAGTCATCAACAGAAGCATACAGCTAAAGCCGAGCATAAGTCCACGCAGTCTTACTCCCTCTAACCCACACAGATCAATGAAATTTACCGATAATTGTTAACAGTGATCATCACGTAGAGGTCCCCGGAAGATTAACGGCCCAAATCAGATTAAAATGGCTCTAAACCACCCAGTTCATCGGTCGTGGGACTTGGGCACCCGCCTAACCCATACTACCTCGTAATTGATATTCAACAGTTATCTAATGTGATCTTAGGAGATCTGGCTGATTGTCTGTCAGTTTACCTCAAAACAGTCAAACTGGTAACATACCCGCTTGATCTAACGAAGCTTTTGTGTCAAAAGCGAAACACTACCAGCTATGAATCCACCGACTGTTTGCCACACCTCGAACGATCATTACTTAATCACTTCCACATTTCTTCGGGATGATTGATTTCAATATACTTGAGGAAGATGCGTTCCCCACGCAAAAGTTCGGCACCGATCCCCACAACTCGAAGGGGCTCTGAACGGCCTAAAATATGAACTAGTGTACGTCTGGCGAAGTACACTCATTTGCATACTAATTTAGTTTTGACGGGAGACTCAAATGAGCCTCTTGCTTGCAATATTTAGTCTCCTGTGTCTAACTTTTATCAGTCCACCAGCTGAATGTATTCGTCGAGGAGGAACATATCGATCTTGGAATCGTGCTCTTCAGACACTGCAGAGCTGACTTTCAGCTGAGGAACATAGTAAACAAGAGACTCAAGTGGGGTTCAGTTAAGTTTCCCATGAAAACCAAAATGGTATGCGAATGAGTGTATTTGTCGAATTCCGTGTGACATGGTTTAAAGTACAACATAGGGCTGACGGTAACTCGGGACTCTACCTACCTCGTGAGCCCCAAGAAAGACTAAACCGACCGTGGACTGTCGAAGAGTGACCTGGTGTGTTACAGTTAACTTATTTGCCAAGTTTTGAATTTTCTTGAGCAATGGGTGAAACGGACGAAAAATTGTGCAAAAAATCCTGGGCGTTTTGTGGCATTTATCAAAACAGCCGTTCCTTGAGAATGTAAATTTTTACTTGCCGCGGGTGTTCGCCTGTAGGACGGCTCGTAACCTCTGATTAACGACAGCTCTTTCCTTTTGGTTATGTTATTGTGACCCTAAACTAAAAAATAAGACAAACGCGACAGTGAGTCCGGCGTTCTCGTAACCAAGTGGACCCGTCTGTTCGATGCAGCTAGCTACCTGCATTTCGAAAGGTCTCGGTCTTGCGACCATGGGTGTTCGTGTCTCTATCCTACACAAATCGATAAGCCACGATCTGACGGGCAGCAATTAACCTATCCCGATAGACTAGGTGATAAAAAATATAACCCCATCATCAGCTTCGACGGCATGACCTCAGCGTCCAACACTGATGCTTCTCAGCTGTTCTACAATGATTTAGTTAAAAGCCTAATTGTGAAGGAAAGAATAACAGCGAACGGAGAAGAAACTTATTGCCAACGTAACACAACCACTCCGAGGTGCCCACACCCACAAATAATCATTCATCATCACCGGAGACAGCAATATCATTGTTGACACTGAGGGTTCACTGTCACACAACCACACAGTTTATCTGATCAAATTTAAAGCCTCATAATAAAACGAAAGGGTAGGTGAGGGAGGGATCTGGCGCTGGCCTATCGCAAGCATTCTGGGAAGATTACGCCACAAAGCGCTCAATCAGACAACTTGGAAAGAAACTGAGAGCACGAACGCCACTGAAGTCGATCAGCCGCCATAACGCGCAAAGTCTCCAGCCAAACGCAGGAGTCACGGGTATCCCATCTTGGGAGGCGTACGACAACACTAAAACTCTCCATGATATCTTCCTCTCCTTCTGCCAGGTTTGCGCCATTCTGAAGGAGACAGAGAGAATAGACTCGTCTCGGTAGACGATGTTTAGGGATGTGTAGCTCGTGACCGAGCCACCGTAGTTGATGGTGCTGGGTTTTTTCCGCGATTGAAGTACCCAATGTACAAACAAATATACATTTTCTAATCACCTCGTTACTAATCCATTAGTGCTATCCGACACCACCAGTGCTTGTGAGACATAGATGGTTAAAAACCTGAAGACGCCTCACACATTTCGCAGCCATACAACAAAACAGCCCTTAGTGCTGCCTGGAACACGCTACACCTAAAACACAGTGATACACCTTTCTGGCTCCACAAGTATTGCAGATTAGCAAACATGATTCTGGGCTTACAGATCCGGACACTAACTTCATCAAACACACATAAGAGCTGATACAATTACCAAGGTAATTACAATTCTTTACAACCTCCAGCGATTCTCCTTGAATTGCATTTTCAAAGTAGTTTCAGAGGCTGCACGTTATTAGGCCTTAACTTGAACTTTGAAAGTACAAGGCACATGCCGAAAAATGGTGTCACGGTGGCCAGTCTATTCAACAGGGCTTATGCTTCGCCTTGTTCTTCAGAGATGAGGACGGTGTCGCCTGCGTATCCCAGGTCGACAGGGTTCTCACCAGCAACAATCTGAACACCGGGGCTTTCAAAACCTTCCGGCGTTCAACTCAGTATTTCACCAACGACGAAGTTGAACAAGAACGGAGAGTGTGGACAGCTCACCATACACCCTCACCCGCCCAGAAGTATGTGAATATAGAGATCGGATTATGTTCACAAACTTCTGCGGCATACCCTGTTGAGCAAGTGTGGTTAGGATTGACAGAATCGAACGCATACTTGAAGTCAAGGAATATCAAAATTGTGGGTTGCGTTGCTCTAACACCTGACGGAATGTGAAGGTGGGGTCTCCATGATACGTAAAACGCTCTACAACTTCCAATACCTCTCCCTGGATTGTAAGTGGCGTGTTCAGTGACTGCACGTCCACGAGCATGAACTTACACTCCGTAGGTGCGAAGTGCATACCAAAGAACAGGATGACTTTGGTCAGTTCACCCAAAAACACTTGCGCCTTCTCCTCTTCGAAGACAAGTACGATATCGTCTACATATTTCATATTTGCAAGGTTTTCGCCAGCTGCTATTTAAAAAC